CCCCCCCCCCCCCATCCGTCATCATCGAGTTACACTCGACTCGAACAAAAGTTACTTGTCCTCACATGACACGTGTGTTATGGAGGATTGTGGAGGATTGTGGTCGTGGGTTCGCGGCTCAAGAACCTAAAAAGCCCGTGATTAAAAATAAAACCTCTTGCCGGGACACCCACGGGGAAGTTGACGACGGCGACAAGACAGCCCATGGCAAAAGTTTATACGCCCGCACCGCATGGCTCACTCATTCATGCATGCTTGATGATGCTCTCGTCTCTGGGCCTTGCCGTTGAGCTCTGCATCGACGCTTCATATGTGCTCCATCCTTCAACCACGCCAGGAGTTCTTGCAGAGTGAGGGAGAGTTGGGGAGCCAGGACGAAACTGGCATCTGTCCACGGCGAACCAATAACTAAGCTTTTGGGGCATGACCGTGTGGCGGCCTTTTTGGCCAAAATTTGGCATGGGCAGCGACTGGGCGGTTGAGTGGGCGCCAAAACGACTTTCAGGCTCTGATGCAGTCAGCCATGCAGCCCATGCCGGCGCCGGTCAACAATCTGATTCTCCGGCCTCTTTTTGCTGCAAGCCTCGACTCCGAAGGGTTCTCAGGCACCGCGTGGATGACGATGCATCGAACCCCGCCCCCTTACCCCGATGTCTCCTTGTGATATCATTTGCACCGACAGGCTCGTCGACGGCGTTGCCTTACGAGGCAGGCGTTCCAGTCACGCGTCGTATAATCAGGGGGCCCGAGGACGTGGTCGAGACTTGAGACGTTCTGATCACCAAACAAAGACCCACGATCACCACTGCTCTCGTAATGGTCCCGACACCATGTCCGCAGTCCGTACGGCCAGACTCTGAGATTAGGCTTTTCTCAGCAGCCTGCACTTGGCGTAACCCTCAAGGGTCGCGTCGGAGAGTGCTCCTTGAAAGGCTGTTTTGCCATGATGATTTGGCCAGCTATGGCCGCCCCGGTTCCACGCGCTGTAAACAGAGTTTGGGACCGTCTGGAGCCGTCGCTTGATGCAGGAGCTAGCATTGACTAATACTGGACAGCGCAGGCAGGGCGACAATGATCGGCTTGGTTGTGACCGAGTTCAGCAAACGGGCCGCAAGTAATCGGTCAGGGTTGCACATCATCATGGCAAAGCCGGCGTGAGACGGTGAAACACGGACCGGGAGAAGATCACATCACGAGGGAGAAGGGAGAAATGTGCCAGAGCCAGCCGAACCAGCCCATCGGCCGAAGCCGAAGCCGAAGCCGAAGCTGAAGCTGAAGAGGAGCATGCGAACAATGAAATGAAATGGCAAGGCAACAAGGCTACCAAGCACGTCGTGACAGACCGACCAGGTGCGGGCGGCGAAGACACCAGTTGACACAATGGGAAGGAGCTCCAGGTGCATGCGCGTGGGAGTTTCCTGCCTGCATCCTGATCAATGTCTTGTGAAATCCTTGTTCGTTACCCAAACTTAAAGAAAATCCCAGCAGCTGCGCAGGAATAATCTCGTTATCACGAAAGCACATATGTGGAGTACTCCGTAGCACCATGTCTGTTTGTGTGCGTGAGCGCGCGCGTCACATCACAGCACAGAGCAGAGCAGAGCAGAGCAGAGCAGAGCAGGCAGTTGTGAATGTGAACGAACGTGTGTGAATGCGACAAGTGACGGACAGACAGCTGGGCCCTCCCGTCATATCAGCGTCGTCCCTCCCTCCCTCCCGCCCGCCAGCCAGCCAGCCAGCCAACCTTCGCGCTGCACCTCGCACCTCTCAAGATTCAGAGTCCTTGACAGGGCCCCTGGCCAGATGACAGGCGTGGCCACTCGCGAGGCACCCCCCTGCTCGCCTGACTGCCGAGCCAAGACGCTTGTCGAAGTGACAGACGCGGGGGGGGGGG